TTCTTACTATGTCAACAACTCTCTCACTTGAGCTTTTTGCCTATAATACATTTTTTGGTTAAACATAACACAAAATTCCATTAAAGTCTCGTGAGCTATCAAAGAGCAAACGCTGAGAATTCCAAATTTCTGTCAGGTCCATTCGAAATGCTTTTTATGCTCTTAGTATGATTACGAAAACATCAAAGTAGATATGAAATGACCTTTTCCCCAAGGATTGCACACAGATATGCCAACCTTTCTAGCTGTCAACATAAACAAGCCACTTGTTTGTGTACCAACCTGGAAGCTTCACAAACAAACTGTGCTGAACTCCAAATCATTAATGTACTCATACCATATATAAACATGACCATACCACCCAACAAATGTGTCCGCAGAAACCAAGTGTTAAATGGCAAAGTAGTTTACGTCTAAATGTTGTCTCATAAAAACTGTGATTAGGTCGATTAGCTTTGCTAGATCTTTGTTCATTTTACAGGCAAGAGTCATTACAGGGTTTACACTCACACGTTAATTTATGAAAACAGCTGTCAGAACGGTTTAAGCCGCCATGATGGTTCTTACAGTTAAAGCGATAGTTCACTCAAAAATTCTGTCATCATTTACTCACCCTTATGCCATTTTAAAGCTGTACAACTTTTTTCTTTTATTGAACTCAAAGAAGATATTTTGAAAAATGTCTAATTTTTTTGATCTGTATATTTACAACATGTTTAGTTACAACCAAATAACATTTGGACCCCAATGATTAAAAAGTTAAAGCATTCTTCAATATTTCTGCTTTTGTGTTTTATGGAAGAAAGAAAGTCAGATAAATACAGGTTTGTTACCTCCTGATTCAAACTACTCATTTCATCAGTACATTACCTAGGAATCGAGCCTGTAACTGGCGTTGCTAGCACCATGCTCTATCAGTTGAGCTAATGTGGTAAGACCACATGCTTCAGTGTCATCACTGGCTCCGCAAAGACTAACAGACATAATTAACATCTGGACCAGTCTTAATTCTCTCTGTCTGTTTCCCTCTGGTTCTGCATGTCACTCAATCCACTGTGAATACACTGAAGGTCATCCACAGGTGAGAAAGACAAATCTTAATACAATCAGGTGCACTGGTCCCTTGGAAAAACATTATATTCCATGAACATTGAATATAATGACATTTCATCAAAGTTTTATCTGTGTTTATGTGTAGGCAGATGAGGAGACAGTCTTCATAGCGATGTGTACCTGGTCTAATTAAGGCACGTCTGATATGCAGAGGTGGAACACAATCTTTTGCCCTCCCAACAACATGCACATTAGTAAGTTTGGTCCTAACGCCTCCACAACCTCGCGAGAACAGATCATGTCCCCATGGCAATGCAGGACCCAGATTCACGTCTAGGAGAGACTAACTGTATTACACTTAATTAGCTGGAGCCATGACAATGACAGCATGGCATTACTGGTACAAGTGAAATTTACTTTAGATAAACAGAACAACACAGACCATCGACACATACACACGCACAATATTGCTGATAATATATAGGACATCTATCATTAATCCGAACAAAAATGACCAAACTAAAATTATGAATATTTGGATGAAAAGAAATTGAATTGTCAAAAAACAATGACTTGCAAGGTGTCAGGGTCTTATATTTCAGAAATCAGTCACAAGATGTTCACATTTCCTTTTTAACCGTACAAAATGTCTTTCAGCAGTTAGAAAGAATGACAGGTTAAGAACTAAATAAGAGACTGTGTTGCCATGGTAATCTTAAAATACCAAGAAAAACAAGTGGCATAACAACACAAGAATTTTAAGTGCAGGGACCGTGGTTCATAAAGTTGCGCTCGAGGGCTCTCCCACCCGGCCCTATCTGAAAAACAAACAGACTGAGATTGAGGATTGTGTTTGTTAGAGAACATGCTATGCACTTAAGACTCTGAATATTGAAGCTCAACCTCAATCCTCCACAAAATGCATGTGTTTCGTGGTATTTGCACATCGCCCAAAACAAACGTACACAAATAGAAACGCATTGCTTTGGGAAGACTGTTGTTTCCCATGCTCAGCATCTGCATTTAAATGTTTTTCTGTGTTTTACATGCTTCGTCTCTGGGGGGCCTGGGACGTGTGTTTCGAAAAACAGCTTTGAAAAGCTGCTGTTTGTCTTTCTAACTTCCTTTGCTCCAGGAACAATTGAACATTCCTTTTTCTGTCTCTTAAAAGCTTGTTACATGCTTATTGAGATCATAAAACCCGTTCACAGTCTAAACAGAACCCACAACTATCTACAAACAGCATCTTTCTTGCTCTCATAAACATGTCAGGGTCAAACGCCTCCTCCACAGATCATGACCGCCGTATCACAAACCCCACGCTCTCAGCGGCACAGAGGATGATTTTCATTAACCCAGGGAAGTGCAAAGGCCCGTCGGGATCAAATATGAATGTGCCTTTGAGACACATTCACTAGCTGATGCTCAGGCACATGGTTTGACCTCCTTTGGTCTCCACTTTGCCCCACTGAACTCCTCTGTGTCCCTCCCATGCTAGCCAGGGGCCACTGCATTGTTTGTGTCCCCACTGTTAGATCATGTATAGCTGATCCACTGTGTGTACCGTGAAAATGAACAGTCGTAATCAGTGATTTATGATTGGCTCAAGTTTGTGTGATGTGAATGGACATGCAAATGCAGACGTACAAGATACACATGCAAAATACAGAAATACAAGATATACATACACAGGAAAAAAATCACTGTCTAAATCAGTATTTTTGTCCTGTACCTAGTGAACTTATATAAACACCTTTAAAAGGACTAAATTACGTTTTGAAATATGTCAAAATAGAAAAGAGATCTTTTAAATTGTAATAATATTTCTCCATATCACCATTTTTACTGTATTTTTCTTTAAATAAATGCAGCTTCTTTAAGAAACATTTAAATGCACACTTCTGAAAGATAAATGTAAACATACACAAATATTCCAAATATAAATTTTGTGGGATTGCCTTCACAGCAACAGATATGTACACCACTACAAGATTTTGCATCAGAAGCAAACCCATGATGTTAAAAAATGGTGCCGTTTTGGAAAAGCGCTACTGTCTCGCTCTGTCTATCCTTATCGCTCAGTCTTCTGAAAAATGGAAATGTGCTCTCCGACCAACCATGTAATTTCTGCATGCCAACTTCAAAGCCACAAAGTCCCTCTACTGTATCAGGAACAGCAGGATGAAAGGTGATGTCTGTTTGTCATGTTAGGTACACGCTTTCCTTCCTCTTTCCTTATCTACTGAATCTGATATGGCCTAACCTTGACATAACACTAATCAGTGAGGGAAAACAGGAACAAAACAACTAAAGGAAGACCGAGTGGCCGTAATGTCATAAACACAGGACCATGATGCAGGACATGACAATATAATGTCCTTGAATGTGTGAAAAAAATAAAGAGAGGCCAAAACAGGTTTAAAATTATCATAGCTAATGCTAATAATGCCTAAGAAAGAATAAGAACAACCCAAATAATGCTTGAAATTACATTTACATTGAGTTTCAGCTTTGGATGCTCTGTAGTTTATGAAGGACAACTATATTCTAAGATGGCATACATATTTAAAGGTGTGTTTATGTTTTGCTAGCAAGCTACAATTTTTTTTTTATCTAGGTCTGTCAGTTCGACCATGCAAAAAACTGACAGGCGTGATTTCAGTGGAACTAAAGTGCTTACAAAACATTGTTTCAGTCTGATTGAAACAGAACTTTTAAAGTATATGTAAACATACTTACTCATGATTAATTTACTCTGCAACCGAATTTGTGATAAAGTGAGTAGCCTATTATTGCACTGGTCATGTGACCTCAATATGGCGGTTATAATGAGAGACCACCCTTAAGTTGAATAAAATAGCTTACTCTATACAACAGATTTTATGCTTTTCTTTGGCTATATATACTTTCAATGGATAAAAATACTAAGTGCATTTAAAGGAAAAGTGTATTTTCAGCGTGTGTTGGCCATTAAATACATCATAAATGGAACTGATTTGAGGTTTCAGGAAGAGAAAGAGAAAATCAGGCAGTTTTCCCATCAAAATAATGAATTTCCTCTAGGGCTTCTGTATTCAACAATGCTACTACTGTTGTTCTAGAGCTGTTCAACTGTGCAGTTTTTTGCTTTGTATATTATTCACGTAAACATTGGCTGATTGGCTGGACTCTTAACGAGCTGCCCCTAGAGAAAAAGTCATCCCTTATGGAAGAGATTATAACCATGCAACTCGATGCACACCCAAGATTGCGGTTAGCATGCATTGCACACAAGTACAATGAAATAACACATTTGCAACACTGTAATCAGAAATCAACTTGGACTCAAGGGTTAACCAGGGGGTTGATTAGAGATCTGGGTGAGAGACAAGATCTCCATCTTCTAAATAGAATTGCAGCTCAAGAGAGATTCGCTAATTGTCCCCTTGTTGCAGAGAAATGTCAAAGAGAGCCTCATAAAGGCCTCACATAACCATTAGAAGAGTTGTAAAAGCTTGAAGCTGCTTTGAGGAGAGATGGCTAATGAAGTGGGTGGCAGTGAGCTGAAAGAGCAGAGATTCGGTATGCGGTTTAACAAAATGGCCAGTAACACTTTAAAAAAATAAAGAACACTTGACATTTTTTTTTTAGTTGGAACCTTTTAAAAAAAGGCAATTGCACTGCAATGACCTAAAGAAGCTTAACTTCTATGAAGAACCTTTTGTGCAATGGAAAGTTCCCATGGATGTTAAAGGTTCTTCATGGAAAAATAGATGCTACTAAAGAACCTTTATTTTGTACGCAAGCTGTAGTATGTGTGAGAGGCAGACAGAGAAAGAGGTGATACTTTTCATGCAACCTGACCAGACAATGAAGACTGTATTTTGATGGTAAATAACATATTAAGTGCAGCCTGGGGCCATGATATTTTTCTCAAGCTTGTAATACAGGTGTGAGAATTGACTTACACTAGTGACTTTGCGGTAGATCTGCGCAGCGTTTTGGCACTCTGAATAAGGGTACTCTGATGTGGTCATCTCCAGGATGCACATGCCAAAGGCATAAACATCCACAGCTTCGTCATATTTCTCCTCATACATCTCTGGAGCCATAAACTCTGGGGTTCCTGTGTGGAAGCAAAGATCAAGACCAAAAAATAAGCATTAAGTAACCATTTAGCAGGCACTTTTATTCCTCATAGCTTAACCTTGTATAAAGTGTCTTGCTCAAGGGCACAATGGTGATCCCAGAGCTTTGGTTGGCCCTCCAACTGACTGAATGTTAAATGTGCACTCATAAACATGAACAGTACATTTGAGATCCAAGTTGAACTTGAGCTTGAACTATTGGTTGTGCTTTCCTGATGTCCAATGCAGGTCACGAATTCTTTAATTATTCATGTCATTGAACTCTCCTAATCTGAACATGAGCAGATCAGATTTTAAACCATGTTGAGCCAATGCTGAGCTAATGAGCTGATGTGATATAAGCACCACCGTATACAGACGAGGTGAGAAATCTGTGTCAATCACTTGTTGGGCCATAAACACAGTTGACAGAGTACACAAACAAGGCAAGCCCATAGTAGAGGTAGCTCAGGGCCTGTTTACAGTAACTGTTGTGAAGGTCAAAGAAAGTTCTGCTGGATTGCTTGAAGAGAAATTGTTGACATTGTAACATCTAAATAAGCAGTACACTGAAATGTTGTGGGATTTTTAACTCACCAATGACACTCTTGGCAAATGAGGCACTCTTGAGAGTAGCTAGACCCAAATCACCAATCTTAACATATCCAGTGGGGCCAGTGATGAAAATGTTGTCACATTTAAGGTCTCGGTGGATTATGGGTGGTGTTCGGGTGTGCAGGAAATGAAGGCCCTTCAGGATCTGATGACTCCAGCGCTGGAGAAGCTTCAGTTTCATCTCTTTGAACCTTTTCAGGTACCTACAGGGAAACAGGTCGGCATTGTAGTTATATTAGTTTTTTTCATTGTAAGTATATTAGTTTTTTCTTAAATTCTAAGGCAGCATCATGTGTATTTTTCATGAAGAAGGCAATTACAGAATGCATCATTAGGGTGTTGCACTGTTAGCTCTACAAGCTCTACATAAATCAATTGAGAGTTCAGTCTCCCATGCAGAGCAATATTTTGGTGGACCACGTAGGCAGTTGGCAGTTTGAAAGATCACTAAGCTTGGAACAGAGCTGTGGACTTTCATTTCATTCCTCTATTTGTCATTTTATGGTGCTCCTGCTATGCAACCTTCAAAACCATTATGTGCAACATTATGTCACAAAGTGTGGTGCCATTTGGGATGGAGCCACTGTTAATGAACAGTGACATTAGACATTAGAGGGATATACATTTAAACTATGGTGGTGGCATAGTTTTGATCGATTTGGGTTGTTATCCATCAGAGGTTGTGAGGGAGTGTGAGGCAAAAAACCCCCTACAATATTCTATTTATTGAGCAAGACACTTTTCCAAATTACTGCAATTATTCTATGGTTGGCAACTCTGGATAAAAGTGTCTGCAAAATGACAAAGCACAGTTATTATTCCGACAGTGGGCTTCAGTGTCTCATGTGAGAATACACAGAATGAACAGTCCATTTACAGGAGAGAACTTTTCCTGTCTTTGTACTGGCATCCTTAATGGCCACACCATCTGCAAGTACTTTATATTAATTTTACACAACAATACTTGGACTGAACTTACGTCTTCAGTGTCCCTGACGTCATGAGTTCCGTCACAAGGATGATGCACTTGTGTCCTTTCATGGTGGACTTCCAGGAGTCGTAGAAACGGACAATGTTTGGATGCTGCAGGCACTTCAGCATCTCCACCTCTTCACTGAACCGCTGCCGTTCCACTTTCGTCAGCCTTCGGGTCTGTTGAAGAGACACATATTTCAAGTAAATTTATGGGTTAGTTCATTCATGTTCACACATGATGGGACATTGAGTCTGGGGAGCTCTGTACACTTTGTGACTTGTAGGACAGGTCTATGACAACTGAAGTTGAACCTCATTCAAGTTGAAAGTGACTTAAGTGGCTGGGAATTCAAAACAACACTTGTTAACCAACCTTCATTTCTCGACTTTAAGAACAACTGTTGTTATTTAGTCTTTTTTTGCCATTTAGTCCATTTTCTTTTACGTTTAACTAGTTTAATGCAATCTACCCAAGTAGGTCATATTCCTGGCTAGCCCTGGAACAACATTCCTATTAACTAATAAAGTTTTACAGTTAGGTTAAGGGTTGGGGGTTTGAACAATGTTCTTATAAACCAGGGGTGTCCAAACTACGGCCCGCGGGCCAAATGCGGCCCGTGGATGCATGTTAAGCGGCCCGCAGCTGTCTTAATAGTCTATATTATATATTGCCCGCCAAGCATAATTTACAAAATAGGCCTATGCAGTTTCAAAATGTCAACACAAGATGGCAGCACTACATTTTAGACCAGATGTAGCAGTAAAACGCGAGTGATATCAATTTGATAACTCATATGCGCTCTCATTTGTTTAGCGCACACGAATTCCTAAACGCGTCAAAAGTGGAAGAGCGCGACTCGTTTGAACCGCGCTGCACGGACCGTTAGCTCTGCCTAAAGACGGCGTAGCGCGAGCTCAGAACAAATGCGTTTACGCGCTGACTGATCTCGATCACGAGACCACTAAACAGCGCTGTGAGAAGCGTTTGAGTTTGGAGCAGAGGTTTCCATACAAACCACATATGTCAAAGGCAGATGAAACAGCGCTGACATTCTCAACAACACTAACGCGGAAGATAGGAAAAACATTGTGCGACAACAATGCAGTAAGAATACTTTTCAATCCACAAATCACCAACATTTTGATTTACTGTAGTAACCGTAACTGTGGTATTGTGGCAGAAATGTTGCATATTTATACAGAATCTTCTTATATAATTAATGTAGACATATAGCCAATTTAATGTAATGTAAGGGAGTTATGAAATATAGGCCAAATTACAGACATTTTTGATGCAGTTTGTGCTTTCATGTGTTAATAGATTAAATACCATAAAGCCATTCTATGTTATAATTATTAAAGCTTTAAAAACAAGATATTTGCAGATTTTTGTCCTCAACAAAACACAAGCTACTGCTACTGTCAACTCAACATCACACATACACGCACGCATACATGCATACATATATACATATATATATATATATAGGTAGAAGCATCCGGCCCCCCAGTGTTTCCACATCGTCAAATCCGGCCCCCTTTAGGAAAAGTTTGGACACCCCTGTTATAAACCAATAATATCCTTCTCATTTCAGAGGGAGGTTAGGGTTAAAATGGGGTGGAAGGTGTTCAAGGTATGATTGTTTGATTAAAATATTGTTCCTTGTACTTAAAAAATAACAGTGCATGGAGCAATTTGGGAGGTCAAAAATTGACAAAATTATCCATGCAATTATTTATTTATTTATTTTTTTTACCTAAACTTCATGGGTCAGAAGTTTCAGAATGGCACTTCAAACTGAAAATAAACGCACCAGAATTCCCTGACAAATCAAAACACAACTTACTAAATTACTGTTAGCAGCTATTCTGTGTTTTTGAAGTATCAGAAATGCAGTAGACGTCAAAATGTGCCAAATCCATAAGCTGGCACACAGTCTATGCAAATGGAAAAACTGACAGCGCTGTCTTCTTTCATAACTTTGATTTGCAGCTTTTGGCTTTAAAGGCTGAACTGCATAATTTTCTGCAAGAGAAAGAAGTAGTTGACAGAAGTTGTTGGTCAAAACACATATGGCACCCCAGAGTTTGTTTGCATTTCCACATCTGGCTCTCCAGACAGCTTAACCTGTCCTACGCATGACATTATGTCAAAGGCACAGCCAGATGGTGCCAACAACATGGGGGCCCCTTTCAGTCTCGGGCCCCTGAGACAGGTGACAGATCAACCGGACCAATGACTGCTTCATGCTCATGGTTGTTAGTCTTTAACAAGCAAAAACACACTCAAATTGGGTGTTTTTCATCTTTCACACAGAGTACTGATTGTCCAGAATGAGCTCACGCATGAAATATGTTTATTGCTTTAGGTAGACAAGCCTACCGTGAGTGCAAAACTTTGAAATGCTCAGTGAAAAGGCTAATTTCAGGTGCTTAGTCTAATGGATAACATCTTTCTGATAGAACTGAAACATCCTGAATGTGGGGCAAAGACAGTTGGTTATGTAACCAAGGCAGATGAGGACAATCTTGACAGGTTTGGATGAAGTTGGTGGGAGTGAGGGGTGAAGAGTGCATGAGTGTGTCGAGAGTGCATTAATAAGAGTAATGTTGTAATATGGTACTGCAAGGAAAGTAGAAAAGAAGATTCAGTGTCCTGTATGTTAGACAGACCTGCTGAGGAATGCTGTTGCATCTGTGACAACGCTATTTCAGGACGTACCCCGCTACAGTCCTGGAAAAACAGCTGTGTGAAACTTACTCTCTCCTTCCCTCAGTTGCTTTCGCCCACCCACAATTTCCCCTCAGATAAGTGGTTCTCAACTGACTTTGCTACACAATAAGTGGTTCTCAACGGTTTTTGTTTAATACTAAGTACTTCTCAACTGATTTTGCTTCACGATAAGTGGTTGCTTTGCTTCAAGACCAAAATTGCTAATAAAGTAGCATAACAATTGTGTCTATTTTAAGATAAAAAATGTATATTTATCAATAAAATCATGAACTGCATAGGTCCGATAATATGCATAATTATTTACATGAAATAATAATAAAAAAATGAAAATAAAAATAATTGGGTAATTACAACCATTTCAAAAAGAAATCATCTTTCGTAGTAAAAGTGTTTAGATATTGCTTAAAAAAATAAAGAAAAGAAAAACAGAAAATATCTACTGTTCACGTGGTCATGCTCATCAGCAAAACACTTTCATGGTATAATTCTCTCATTATAAATAGAATAATATAATATAATAATCACAAAATGTTGCCGTGTCTGACTGGATGAAGAATCTATCAAACATGTTCTTCTAATCTGTGCTCCCTGGTATGTAGCATAGTCTCGGGCAGAAGCCCAGTTCTGGTGGTTAGTGGACTAGTTCTTAGCTGTGGCTGCCAGTGCAATTTAGCACTTAATTAACCACTAATGGGACCACACTCAGAATGACTGCCTTGAGTTTTACTAGAGAGGAAATTGACCACTCACAGAAATATGAATGGGAAAAATCACAACACTCAATATGGAGGCTATAGGAATGCAAGTCTTGCCTTTCATTTAAAAAAAAGCTAACATCTTTTTAGTACAGTTTGTTTATGCACAAGTGCATCTTAAAATACATTACTGAAAACCTGACTGACAGTTTTGGAGATTTGGACATGATTTTCTTCTCACAGGCTGCATGCCAAAACAACAACATGACCAGTGTAGTCCGATATAAGAACAAATGACTGAGTCGGTTCTTTTTCGGGAAACATACACCAGTGTAGCCCAGTTTCCAAAATGAATGAACTAAGGAATAAAACACTACATGACAAGCTACTGTTTGAAACACTGCCATCAAAATTGGACTCAAATCAAATCAAGTGCTTTTGAATCTAAATTAAATTGGGAAATCTGTGACCAAATCTACTGTCTAATCTAGCTTTTAAGACAAAAACTGCTCATGACATCTCTTCATCAGTTCTTTATACTTTAGCAGGGACTTTCCATCCAAGCTAAGAGTCTGCTCACCGGGGTCGTTTTTTCATGACAGCAAAAAATTGTCCTTGATACTTAAATAATCTTATTTGCACATTCATCAATCCCAAGTGTGGGAAACTCAGCACCACGAGTCAACGCACCTGTTAAACACACTCCATGAGCCATTATGCAACACAAAGCCCATGCAAACAAGAAAAGGTCTTAAAACATACTATGAAGTGGGGTTTCCTTACTTCAGCATGTCCAAAAATGCATAAACAGAGAATATGTTAAACTGGCTTGGTAACGCAGAACCTGTAATTGTAGTTTATGATGGCGGTCAGTGGCGGGCTGTGATTGGCGTTTCTGAGAGCGGCCGTGACGTCAAAGCAGACATATAATGTATTCCAGACGCGGGAAACAGCACACACGTGCAATGTGCATTTACAGCACAGATCATAAACTGGGAAGAATGGAGGATGTGATGTAGTATTGTTTGAGCATGTGTGTGGGTTAGAAAGCCCTGCTCTTTATCAGGAACAAGCTGTTTCAGCTCTAAGATACACTTTTCTTGATACACTGAAAACATCATTGACTTCCCACAAATGTGTCCGTGAAGAGAAATAGCATGTTAAATAAAAAGAAAAGATAAGAACTGCCGCAAGGAAGGCTCTAGCATATATACTGTTGATTAGAAACTTAGATTAGAAATTTAAAATAGTTATAAATGCTTCAAAGTTTTACATAACCCAGGAATCTCAGATAATAATACGTGGAAGAATTTGAATATAATAGAATTTGACCCTGATTGTTTGAACCAGCGGCATTTACTCATTGATATTCAAAGGCTTCAAGGGCAAAACAGGCACACAAAAATTTACTAAGATCTGCCTTGACTTTCAGAGAAATGATTCAAAAATAATCCTTGAATATTTGGGCCAGCAACCCCACAAGTAAATGTGCAAGTGCAATGCTTTCACACAATTTTAACACTTGTTTTATTGGTAAAGGAAGCACTGAGAAGATAATGTCATAAATTGCATTTCAAGCTTGAACAGTGGTCTCACATTTTAAGGAAAGCTAAACATTTTTGTAACTTGTTCTGGATAAGAATATCTATTAAATGCCTTAAACATAAATGCAAATTATTTCAGCGCCACACTCTTGTTAACATGGAGAAATTCCCTGTCCGGTACATGTATACCAAGCAACAGTTACC